AGGGACGGGGGTGTTACAGTGCACACGTTGTACGTTTTGTATCATCACATAAGCACCAATCATAATTGTACAATACCCATGGTTATAGTTTTGACCATTCAGTATCCGTAAGGCGTCCGTTACTTTTGGTGGGACCCAATCATGAGCTTTGAGAATCCTTTGAAAATGACCAATTATAAGGTGAGCTCAAAGGGCCTACCTGGGGTTTAGGCAAGCGGTGAGTGATTGGCTAGTTTGTACAGAGTAACTACCTGCAGTTCCCAGCCCTGACTCAGACCACAGGAATGTTACACATTTCTTTTGATTGGCTGATTTGAGGGTGGTCCTGAGGGGTGGCTTCAGCTGAAGCTTTTCCTGGAATTAGGGCTACGTGCAGCCTGAGGTTGCTCTTAATGGAGGACTTAATTTCAGGCTCTTCAAGGTGTGGCCCCAAGGCCTTGCTCTTCTGCAAATTCCTGGAGAGCAGTGGTTCTCAAAGTCCGGTCAGGGGACCAGCTCAGGGGACCAGTGGCAGCAACCTTTGGGCATTTGTTGGAAATGCAGATTCTTGGACCCTACCCCAGACCTGCTGAATCAGAAACTCTGCGTCAGGGCCCAGGGACCTTGTTTTAACAACTTTTCCAGGTGATTCTGATGCACGCTAAAGTTTGAAGACCACCAGCATAGTGTTTTTAGCTGGTACCACCTAGAGATTACTAGGGAAGTCTTATTTGCCCCATGAGATAGCATCCTTGTCCTCCTCTCTATTGTTCTAATTCATCCTCACCATCTCTTGCCAAATGTGAGATCAGGTACTTTTGGTAACAAGTAACAGAGAATCTCAAACTAGCCTAAACAACAAAAGAAATTAATTGGCCTGCATATTTTATTTGAAAAGTCCAGAGAAAGGTCAGGTGTGTGTGTGGGGGGGTTATTGAGCAGGGCTCAGATTCTCTTTGTCCTTCTCTTTGTATGAGCTTTGTCTTCACGTTGGCTTCCCTTATGGTTGCAAGATGGCTGCCTGCAATGATCAGGGCTTTGTGCTTCCTAATGGCTCCTGAGGAGATGTCAGGCATCCCACACCTTCAAGCAGAGGCCAGGACTGGGCTGTGATTAGACCTGCTGAGTCAGCCCTCAGGGCAAGAGGCAGAGCATTAGGATAGACAGGGATACCCCCTCCTCCTTCAGATGAACAGATGCCTCTACAGCCCTGGGCTATTGGAGGCCTGCTCTTCCCATTAAAAAACAAAGCTTTTCTAATATTTTTATAATCCATATTTGTTGAAGAAGATATGGAGAATAATCAAGTAATAGACCACCTATAGTCCTTCCCTGAGTATTGATGTATGAGACTCTATTCTGTTTTCTAAGCATGCATATTTGGTAAATTCCTAAGGTATTAAGATGATTATTTTATTTTTATGTTTTGTTATTTTTATTAATTGAGATTATTGTGCTAATTAAACCCCACACATTTCTGTAGAAGCCTCCTACAGTCCTACCAGTGACAAGCTGAAAGATAGAACGTTAAGACCCATGTAATGGAACCTAGCAAGAACTTTGTCACTATGTCATGAAAGGGACTTTTTTTCCTATCACATCAAGGCACTAAGATGTGAAATTTTTATTTTTTTAAATGTTTATTTTTGAGAGAGAGAGAGTGAGCACGGGAGGGGTGGAGAGAGAAGGAGACAGAATCCGAAACAGGCTCTCGGCTCTGAACTGTCAGCACACAGCCCGACGCGGGGCTCGAACCCACGAACTGTGAGATCATGACCTGTGCTGAAGTCGGACTCTTAACCGACTGAGCCACCCAGGTGCCCCAAGATGTGAAAATTTTAAAACCAAAAGGATGGGGGGAAAAACACTTTCAAAAAAAAAAAAAGGAAGAAAAATCAAACCCTGTTTTGCCACATGGGGGAGGGTATAGTCGAGCAATATTTACACAAAGGTTAATAGAATATCACTCTTAACACGTGTGTTTAGTGTTGTTTCTTCAGACTTCTGCAGGCTGGTTATCTTTTAAAAACACTTCATTGGGGTCCATAGACAAATTGTGAAATATTGTGGGTTTAATCTTGGCATAGAACCAAAAAAGTTGGTACATTTCTTCCTGGGAATAAAACCAAAGCTCAGCTCAGAGCTTCCCAGCAGCCAAAGCAAGCAATCAATCAATCAATCAGTAAATTTTAAAAAATTACAAAAGGGAAGTGCATGGGGTCATGGAGCTCTTGAACTGCAGTAGAGGAAGCCGACCAGTTTGGGGGAATGGTCAAGCTTTCCTAGTGCTGAACTCTGGAGAGGATGGTCATGGGGACCTTGTGTAAGGGGATGGTGTAAGGGACAAGTTCACTGACAGAGGCAGGAACTGCCTGGGTTTGGCCACTTCTCATACTGACTCTTGATCAGAACAGAGGGCGTGCTGATAAACTGTAGCTCTAGGAAGGCATAGATCTGTAGGAAGCCTGAATGATGCGGTATAAGCGTGACATTTGCTGGTGGTTTTGTTTGCTAGAGATTCAACAAGAGCATATTAATTGGCGTGCCTCCGCCACTGTGCTACTGTGCTTTCGTGCTGTGAATCTCACGTAACTGCCTTGACTTTGGAGGTGGAGGTGATGAGTGCCATTTTACAGAGGACATTGAGGCTCGGGGGGAGACCAAGTGACTTACTCAAGGTCACATAGCCAGTTAGTGGCACCATCAGACCTTGAACTCAAGTCCGCCTTTCAGCTGCCCCCTTAGAGAAGAGCCCAGGCCTGTTGTTTTGTAAACACCACCTCATCCAGTCCTTACAGTAGCTCTGGGTAGTCCGTAGTCTTACCCAAACCACACAGGTAGTAAGGGGTGCAGATGCAGAGCAGGGGCTCCTAACCTGAGTTTGGTGGGGGGACCTCAAGGGGTGCAAAAATTCAGTAGAATTGCTTGCAAACACTTGTTCCTAGTCTCAAAAGACATTAACAAAAAAAAAATCCCAGACCTTTGAGCTCAAGGATGGAGTCATAGTAACAGTTCATACTGACTGAGCCCCAGCAGGGTGCCTGCCACCTGGCAAGGCCTGGGTGACCTGTCGTTGCTCTGGAGTTTGGGTGTGTATCCCCCCCCATCTTCCGAGCCACTCAGCTAGTAAGTGGTTTTGCTTCTTATGGCTGGGCTTTTCCTAGCTCTTAGTAGGGTTGTCTGTCCTTCCATGGAGCTGAGAATTATTAAAAGGCAGAAGGATCTGCTGTTGTGCAAGAGGTCATGGTGCCTGTGTCCCGGTCACCTTTGTTCCGTGACCCCTGGGAACAGGTCTGGTTGGCTGGTGGGTGGTGGAATGGAGCAGTGGGTGAATGAGTGAGTGGAGGAAAGAAGTACCTCTTTCTCATTGCTCTGGGTTGAAAGATTAATTCATCTCTGATGGCCATTTTTCCGGGTTGATGTGCTGGTTGGAAGTCCTGGGGCAGCGCGGGCCAAGCACCACTGGAGTGAGCCTAGGAGCCCCAGGCCCTGTCCTTCCTCCCTGGCAGAGGGTGGTTTGCAAGCTGGCGGTGTCCCCTTACACGGCTCCCCCCAACCCCCCCAGCACGCAGCCTCTGTCTGCTGCCCTGTCTGCTGCTCAGGCCCAAGCTGGGAGGGCCCGCACTGCCTTGCTACCCCCAGCAGCTAGTACCTTTGGCACCCGGACTGCCGTGGTTTCTTGCACCCCGGTGTGGCTTGTCCCCCGCAGATACAGCCCAGTGGTGGGGCCCAGTCAAGTGCGGTGGCCTCAGCCTCCCCATCTTCAGCTGAGAAAGTGCGCTCAGTTGAAGTGACCTGCCCAAGGCTGCATCTAGTGAACAGCGGGTCCACCGAGGATCACTGCACCCCTATATTTACGTGGCCGGGAAGCCTCTGGAAGGTCTGCCACAAGCTGGAGACTCCTGGAGACCCTGCGGCCGCTCCTGCCTCCTCTGACTGGAGAGCTGCTGTGGCCCAGAGAATTACGGCTGAGGTTTTCTTTCCCCTTGAGGGACCGACTGGCCCCACGGCTCGGTGCCGGCCTCTGCCCAGCGAGGCTTCCGGGACTTTGCCGCAGGCCTGGACGGGAGCCGGAAACGGTGAGGAGATTCCGGGAATGGCCGCTCAAGTTTGTGGTGCTTTCCCCCTCCCCGACCTACCTGTAACGTCCGTCATTTCAGAGATAGGCAGCGTCTTTGCACAGGTGATGGGAGCCCCGTGAGGGTGAGAAAGAACAGAGATGGGAGAGAGCCAGGGAGGGAGGGCCTGGGTGGGTTCCTGAAGCACTTTGCACGCTCATTGTCCTTCTCCAGCCCCCTTGCTGAGCGGGCAGCCCGTTGAGGGCCCGGGGCTGGGTGTTCTCCTGGGCCCTGTCCCTCCTGGGCATGTGGTAAATGCACGCGTGCACCAGTGACCCGGGGAGTTAGGAAAGCTTTCTGGGACAGGACCTGACACTTAAGAATCTGTGGCCTCGGTCAGTCCCATCCCCTCTCTGGGCCTGGGTTTCTCCACCTGGGCTGCCCTTCAAGGCCCTGAGGGGCTGAGGTTCCGAGCCAGCAGGGGCCCTGTCCTCTGAGAGACAGAGAGAGGCGTGAGATCGGTGCCAGGGTTCCGGAGGGCTCGGCTGGCTTGTGTGTGGGCGGGAGGTGTCCTCCGAGATTCCTGGCCTGTGGAGATTCCTGGCCTGTGGAGCCCGGGAAGTGGGGCAGCTGACAGGTGGGGACAAGGGTGGAGAAGGGAGGGAGCTGGCGGCGTGCAAAGGGCTGTTTGCTACCGCTGTGGGTTTCCGTGGTAACTCCCTCCCCCCCCCGAAAAATGAATTGGGCAGGGACCCCCATGGTTTTAGATCCTCCTGTGAAGGTTGGTGTCCGATCAAAGGCTGTGGTGCAGACTGGCCAGGCCCTGGGGCAGGATGGAGAGAGGCCAGCGAGCAAGGGCATTGGGTGCCGGCGGATCCTGCTGGGGCCCGGTCCTGGGGTTCTCCCCATCCCCGTGGGCTGTGCACCCCTGCTCACTGTTATTTTGCCTTGTGTTTTCTGCAGATCATGATCGAGTTCTGTCCTGGGGGAGCCGTGGACGCCATCATGCTGGGTGAGTGGTCCTTGACCCAGTGCAGTGGTGCTGGGGAGGGGCTTGAGGCGCTAGTCCAGGACTGGTGTCCTTCACGCCCCTGCCCCAGCAGTTCACATGGCCTTTTGAGTACCTTTAGGCTCTGTCCCCTTTGGGGATGGGGTTGGTTCCTGGAGGGAATGCAGGGCACTCATTGGAAAATTAACACTTCCTGTTCAAAAAGCCACATGTCCTTGAGTGGGGCACTCACCCCCTCAAGCCTTTTTTTTTTTTTTATATTTTTATTTATTTCTAGGGGAGAGAGAGAGAGAGAGAGAGAGAGAGACAGCATGAGCAGGGGAGGGTCAGAGAGAGAGGGAGACACAGACTCTGAAATAGGCTCCAGGCTCCGAGCTGACAGTCAGCACAGAGCCCGACGCGGGGCTCGAACCCACGAACCGCGAGATCATGACCTAAGTGAAAGTCGGTCGCTAAACCGACTAAGCCACCCAGGCTCCCCAAGCCTTGTTGGCCATAAGATGAGTGTGATCTCTCTTTGCCTCCCCCACTAGAACCCTTGGTGGTGAAAATGACACACCTAAGGGAAGTTCTTTGAAGAGTGGGGAATTTCCAGGGCACCTGGGTGGCTCAGTCCGTTAAGTATCAGGCCTCAGCTCAGGTCATGATCTCACAGTTTGTGGCTTCGAGCCCCAGCATTGGGCTCTATCCTGACAGCTCAGAGCCTGGAACCTGCTTCAGATTCTGTGTCTCCCCCTCTCTCTGCCCCTCCCCCTCTTGTGCTCGTGTGTCTCTCTCAAAGATAAATAAACATAAAACAGTTTTTTTAAAAAGGGTCACCTGGGTGGCTCAGTCAGTTGCACATCCGACTTCCTGACCAGCTTGATACTTAGAGGGGTTAAGGAGCTGGCCCAGAGTCCCACAGCAGGGCTGAGACGGGAGCCTGGGATCTGCTGGCCTGGTGGGCGGTGAGTGGGGAGAGGCTAAGGGTCTGGTGCCCCAGAACACTGAGAGGCAGGCCCAGGATTTTGCGGGGGCTCCGGAGAGGGGAAGGTTTCAATATTATGTAGCATGATTCAGCCACTCTCTTACTGTGAGGAGGGTATTCTCCCCACCCCTCCACCCTAGTTTACCTCAGGAATGTTGAATTTGTGGCGGCCCTTTCCAGAAATACAGAAATGCTGGCCTTCCTTGCAGAGCCCCTTACCACTCCCAGAGTTCCCAGATGGGTAAATGATGGATGCGAGTATGTATGATCCGGCCTTTGGGTATTCCTTCTCGTAGCAGAGACTGCCTTTTTGCATCATTCTGGGTGGAATTTAACAACAACAACAACAAAAATGGTGGTCTTGTAGGAGTTGAGACTCTGTAGGCCATAAGGCTATCAGACTCTTTTTTTTTTTTTTTTAAATATTTTTATTTATTTCTAGGAGAGAGAGAGAGAGACAGCGTGAGCAGGTGAGGGTCAGAGAGAGAGGGAGACAGAGACTCTCAAAGAGGCTCCAGGCTCTGAGCTGGCAGTCAGCACAGAGCCCGACGTGGGGCTAGAACCCACGAACTGCGAGATCATGACCTAAGCGAAAGTTGGACGCTTAACCGACTAAGCCACCCAGGCGCCCCTATCAAAGACTCTTTAAATTGGTTTGGTGGGGGGAAGGTGGGAGATGCGGGAGGGGGAATTTATTTGCACAAATAACTAAAAAGTTCAAGGGTTTCCAGCTTCAGGCGCAACTTGATCTAGGAGTTTTTGTTTTGTTTTGTTTTTTCAAGTTCTCATAAGTTGAGAAACTGTAAGAACATGGTTTCCTACTCCAACTCTTGGCCCCACTTTGTTCTATGTTGGTCCCATTCTCATACTGGCTTTCTGTTCACGGTGACAAGGTGGCTGTAGGAGCTCCAGCAATCATATCTGTATTCCAGACAGCAAGGTGGAAGAAGGGAGGGTAGGAGAACTCCACAAACACACTTTCCACTTTTTGAAGGAGGTGTTACAGAAGCCCCACATGACCCTTCCATTTGCATCTTATTGGCCAGAACATAAGAGCACACGGCTAGAAGGGAGGCTGGGAAATGCGGTCTTCTAACTGGGTGGCCCTGTGTTCAGATCCTAAAAGGGAAGGGGAGGATGGGAGCCACCTACCAGCTTCTGGCCTTCTAGTATGCAGCTTAGCTCATCGAGGCGTGGGGGAGAATGTCAGAGATGGAGGAGGCATTCACACGTGCCAGGTCCTTGGCCTCATTCGCAGCTGGGGCAGGGCCCCAGGCTGTGGCTCAGCCTGCAGGCCGACTCACTCTGGCTGCCGCCTTGGTTCTCCTGCTCCGGTCCCACGTGGTTTTCTCTCTGTTGGTGGCAGCAGTGAACGGAACATTGCCAGTGGCCTCAGCATTCTGAGCGTTAAGGTGTTTTTTTGGTTTGTTTGTTTGTTTGTTTATTTTGAGAGAGAGAACAGAAGGAGAGGGAAAGAGAGAATCTTTTATTTCAAAAAAATTTTTTAAATGTTTTTTTTATTTATTTCTAGGGGAGAGAGAGAGAGACAGCGTGAGCAGGGAAGGGTCAGAGAGGGAGTCACAGACTGAAACAGGCTCCAGGCTCTGAGCTGGCAGTCAGCACAGAGCCTGACGCAGGGCCAGAACCCACCAACCGCGAGATCATGACCTAAGCGAAAGTCGGACGCTTAACCGACTAAGCCACCCAGGCGCCCTGAGAATCTTTTTTTTTTTTAATGTTTATTTATTTTTGAGAGAGAGGGAGATAGTGCGGGTGGGGGAGGGGCAGAGAGAGAGAGGGAGACACTGAATCTGAAGCAGGGTCTAGGCTCTGAGCTGTCAGCACAGAGCCCGACGTGGGGCTTGAACTCACGAATCACGAGATCATGACCTGAGTCGGAGCTGGATGCTCAACGACTGAGCCACCCAGGTGCCCCTAATGTTTGTTTTTTTTGAGAGAGAGAATTAGAGCATGTGTGTGGGAGGAGCAGAGAGAGAGGGAGAGAGAGAATCCCAAGCAGGCTCTGCGTTACTAGCAGAGCTCCCAGTGCGGGGCACAAACCCACAAACTGTGAGATTGACCTAAGCCGAAGTCGGACCCTTAACAGACTGAGTCACCTGCCCTCCCCCCCCCCCCCCCACAGCGTTCTAGAAATCAAGGTGAGAGAAGAGAAGGTGAGATGGGGAGAGCTGGGCCCTGGCTGCAGCTGCGTGATGAGGGGTGGACTGTCCTGCAGATGCTGGCCCTGCTTAGAGGGACTTTCTGTCCTTGGCATCTCCCCATCGGCCTGCTGAGTTGTGTAGAGGGACATGCCTGGGCTTGGGGTCCGAGAGACCTGAGGGCTGTGTGCAGGTTCCCTGCGGGGTAGCCATGGGGTGCTGGCCTGGCCCCTTTGCAAGATGGGGGGGATGTGCAGGGCGTGTCACCGTATGGCCAGGCTAGTTACTTAACACCCAGTGTTTGCTCTGATGCGGTTGGCCTTGCCTCTCGCTCTTAAACATTTGGCTGTCAGCCCTCCTGCTGAGGAGCGGGGGTGGGGTGGGACTGGCTGAGGTTTCACACAGACGTAGGACTCATCTGCAGTGTTGCAGATCTTCTTCATATGGAGAAAATGCTCATGTACTGCTGTGTAATCAAAAATTAATCTTAAGAATTTATCATGCTGTTATGATTCCAATTATATGACATTCTAAAAAAGGCAAGACTGTGGGGACAGAAATCAAAGTCATGGTAGCTCGTGGGCTGGAGGTGGGGGTGAAATGGTAATCACACAGGGGCTTGGGGGACCTAAGGAAACGTTCTGCATCTAATTCGTGGTGGTGGTCACGTGACTTATACGTTTGCCAGAATCCATAGAATTGTACCCCTAAACAAAAATTAATTTTACTGTTGATAAATTATATTGAAATAAGGCACAAACCTACCTGGTTGGGTCATTGTGAAGATAACTGAACATATGCATCCAGGTCCCTAACTCCAGGCCCTGTATGTTGGCAAAAGCTCAGAAAATGGTGACTGTGAGAGCTCCATCATCATCATCATCACCACCACCATCATCATCATCAGTTTTGCTCATTCTGATTTCATTTATATAAATAAAGTGGGCACAAGAAGTCACAGTTTAAAAAAAATTGCTACAGAAAATCCAGTTCATCTCAGGACCCGCCTAACAGTAATCACCTTTTCTTGACTGTCCTTCATGCTGAGAAGTGAATGTACTTTATCGCCGGAGTGATGGATTCTCATCATCCCATTTTACGAATTAGGAGATGAAGGCACAGACAGATGGAGCGCTTTTGAGAAACCACGTAGCTAGTAAGGGGCAGCGCCTTGGTTTGGGCTCGGTCTGAGTGGTCTTGATGTTCCCCCAGGCTCTGAGCCTGTCCGTGGTTGGCGGGACACGGGAGTTAAGGATGAGGCCACAGGGAGGGATAGCGGTTGTGGATCCTGGAGAAGGGCCCCTGGTCTGGGGCCGGGCTTCCCAGGGCAGTGCAGCTGGCTCTGGCGTGTTTTATTTTTAACCAAGCCCGTGGGATCTGTCCTTGAGGATGTGGCCAGGCGCGGCCAGGCGAGACAGATGGGAGAGTACTGCCCCGATCGGAGGGGGGCCTGGGAGCAGTGTCCTGGCCGGCCAGCCCTGGAAGCTGCAGCCGGAGGACCCAGCAGGCAGGGCAGTGGGGGCTCACTTTAGCACAGGTGGCTTGGTGGCAACAAGAACTAAAGACTCAGGATGGCCAGTGGGGCAGTGAACACAGGATGTTGACCTTGAAGCTTCTCACGCCCTTCCCCCCTACACCCACTCAGTCCCACTGCCTGTCGCTCCCACCTCCCTAACCCACTGAGTCGAGAATGCTTCCTCTTTGAAGCCTTGGCTGCCTTCTTGTCCTCTGCGCCGCCACGATGGCCCGCCGCCGAGCCCCCTGCATGCTCTTCACTCACCCCACTAGGGAGAAGTTTTTAAATGCAAAAATCAGACCGTCTCTGCCTTGCTTAGAGCCTCTCCTGGACTGCCCACTGCCTTTCAGATAAAGTGCAGCCTTCATAGATGGCCTGCAAGGTCCTGCAAAATCAGGCCCCTCCGACCTCTGACTTTGATTCACTTTCCCCTCCTCCTTCCCCATTAGTCAACAAGGGTACTTGGCACATGCTCTGCCTCCTGTGTCAAATACCCTTCTTTGTGCTCCCCACCTGCTCAGAGAAGAGACCCGCCATCTCTAATAAGCAGACACGGGGTTGTACGTAGTGTGTGTGCGTCTCACTGACTAGCACACAAGAAGCTTTTGGGGGCGCCTGGGTGGCTCAGTCAGTTAAGCGTCCGGCTTCGGCTCAGGTCATGATCTCACGGTTCGTGGGTTCGGGCCCCGTGTCGGGCTCTGTGCTGACAGCCAGCTCACAGCCTGGAGCCTGTTTCAGATTCTGTGTCTCCCTCTCTGACCCTCCCCTGCTCATGCTGTCTCTCTCTCAAAATTAAATAAAACATTAGAAAAAAAAAAAAAGAAGCTTTTGGTGACGGCCTTCGCCCTCCAGCACCTTCATGTCTCCAGCACCACCGCCAGCCAGCAGACACTTCTTCAGCGCCAGCTCATGCAGCCTCCAGGCTTCAGCTTCTGCTGCTTCCTTGACCTGGAGTGCCCTGGACTCACCTTTCCGCCTCTCGAACACCTGTTCTTCCTACAAGACACGGCTTGAATGCCCTTTCTCCCGGGGAGCCTCCTCACTCCCAGGCAGAAGGGGCTGCTGCCCATCCTGTCTGCCCCCAACCCTCATCCAGATCCCACTCTGTTCCAAGCATTGCTTACAGTTTCCACTCACCCGTCCGCATCCTTGCACCAGGCATGGAGGCTGACACGGTGTCAGTGTCACTGCCTGCTTGCAGAATGGAGCTTAGCCTCTTGATGTGAACCTGAGTTCTGAGGTCAGACTGGCTGGCTTGAATCTAAGATCAGTGAATTTCTGCCTGTGGGACCTTGAGCAAGTATGTTGACCTTTCTGAGCCTTGGCTTCCTCATCTGTAGAATGAGGTAATAGTTGTGCCTGCTCCACAGTGTCCCTCTGAGGACAAAACAGGTAACATGTGGGGTGCTTAGAAATGAGCTTGGTAGGTGGTTAAGTGCTCCATCACCTAGGGGGCTTTTGTATTTTCTGTATCTGGCACAAACTTGACATTCAGCTGCCGGTTGTGAGCGTGGGCTACACTGACTGTGGTTCTCCTGTCTGCTTCCAGAGCTGGACAGAGGCCTCACTGAGCCCCAGATTCAGGTGGTTTGCCGCCAGATGCTGGAAGCCCTCAACTTTCTGCACGGCAAGAGGATCATCCACCGGGATCTGAAAGCCGGCAACGTACTGATGACCCTCGAGGGAGACATCAGGCTGGGTAAGGGGGTGTCTGTGAGTGAGGACAGGAAGGCGGAGCCCCGCAGTACCCGCCTGGGGGTTGTGTGTCTGGCCTCGTGGGCAGTGGGGAGTGTGTGTGGGATCCTTACCTCCGTGGCGGCCCCGGATGTCAGTGGTCTCCCCACCTGCCCTGGGCCACAGGATAGTTCCCACTGGTTCTCAACTGAGGGTGATTTTTGTCCCCCAGGGATATTGGGTTGTCACAAGTAGGGGCACAGGAGACCCCTGGCATCTGGTGCTCACCATCCTCCAGTGCTCAGGACAGGCCCTCGCCAGCGATCTGCCCACAAGGCTGGCTGTGGGAGGTGCGGATGCAGCCCTTTCGCTCCTGCTTGTAATCAAGAGGATTTGAGTGAGAGTGACGGACAGAGAGATGAGCCCGCCTCCATTCCAGATAGAAAATAGTATGTCAGGTGTATGCATCGAAACAAATGTTTTTTGTTTTTTGTTTTTTGTCTTTTTTCTCCTTGGGTTCCCCTCCCCCAAATTGTGGTACAATGCATGTAACATAAAATTGATCATCTAAACTCTGAAGTGTACAGTTTTTAAGCGTCCAGATCAGCAGCATGAAGTACATTCACATTGCTGTGCAGCCATTATGACTGTCTGTCTCCAGAAACTTTCTGTCATCCCAGACTGAAACACAGTGCCCAGTAAACACTAGCCCCCACCCCCAGCCCCTGGTAACCTCCATTCTGCTTTTTGTTTATGATTGTGACTGCTCCGGGGACCTCCTATAAGTATAGTCATTTGTGCTTTCATATCTGGTTTATTTCACTCAGCATAATGTCCTCAAGGTCCATCCGTGTCATAGCCGGTGTCAGAGTTTCTTTGTGTTTTTAATACCTTTTATTTTTTCCCCAAAATAGCACATGCACACCTCCTCTGCGACCACTGCCTTCTTTCCCTGTCCATTTCCAGTAACGACACTTAACTCTTCTCATACTTACTTGCGCGCTGATAAATAATATGCTTATCATGCTATTTCCTTTTTTTAATGTTTTATTTATTTTTGAGAGAGAGATAGAGGCAGCGTGAGCAGGGGAGGGTCAGAGAGAGGGAGACTCAGAATCTGAAACAGGCTTCAGGCTCTGAGCTGTCAGCACAGAGCCTGATGGGGGGCTTGAACCCATGAAGTGTGAGATCATGACCTGAGCCGAAGTCAGACGCTTAACCGACTGAGCCACCCAGGCGCCCCGTGCTATTTCCTTTCTTAAAAAATGTTTACTTATTGATTTTGGGAGAGAATGTGTGAAAACGAGAGGGAAGGGGCAGAGCAGGACAGAGAGAGAGAATCCCAGGCAGGCTCCACGCTGTCAGCACAGAGCCTGACACCGGGCCCCGTCTCTCAGCCTGAGATCATCACCTGAGCTAAAATCAGGTTGGCTGCACTTAACTGACTGAGCCACCCAGGCACCCTTATAACGCTGTTTCTTAGCTAATGGTTTTTTTGTTTGATGGAAAATAATACATGCTTATTATACAAAGTTTACACAGTGCAGGAACGTTTGGAGGGGGTACTTCCAGGGTCTCATTATGCTGCTGTGGGCGCAGGTTGCCATCGCAGATCACGTGCACGTGTCTCTGTCAGTAGAAGGATGTGCAAACATAGAGGCGTTGGGAGTGGTATTGAGGACGGAGAGATGGTATTCTCCTGCTTACCAGTTTGACTGCATTCCACTCTATTTTCCAGTAACATCTTCCGGGTGGCGCGGTCATCCATTCATCCGCACCCCTCCCCCTCCATCAACCATATCCTTCTGGCATCGCAGTGTCACTACTGTGCTTTCTCTGGTGGTGACCTGCGTAGCTGTAAGGAACATTTGAATTATGGCTGCAAGACACCGCACTGGTGTGGAGTCCGTGTGGTGGAGAACTGCAGGGATCAGCATGAGGGCTGGAACAGAAATGGTGCAGTACAGTCACCTAGTACATCTTCCGCGGCAGGAGAGCTGCTCCCAGCATCCTTGCTTTGAGAGCCTTGAAGCTCAGAGAGGGTGAGGACCTGCCCTGGGTCACAGAGCTTGCAAGGACAGAGCCCAGGCTGGCCCCAGGGCCCTCTGGCTTGCTTCCCAGGGCTGGCCCACATCACCCCATGCTCCTTCATGAGGACGTAGAGCCTTAGGGTAGGGCTGGGCCTTACAAAACAGATGCAGTTGTAGTGGGTTCTCAGGTTTAGTGCTTTTTTGTCCCCTGGAGGCCTCCTAACACTTAGATTCTCTCTCGGTGGAGCCCAAGAATTTTTCTTTTTTTTCTTTTTGTTTTTTGAGTTTATGTATTTAAGCAGAGAGAGCTTAAGAGAGACAGACAGAGAGAGCACGAATGGAGGAGGAGGAGGAGGAGGAGGAGGAGAGAGAGAATCCCAGGTAGGCTCCACACCCTCAGCCCAGAGCCCGACGTGGGGCTTGAACCCTCAAACCGTGAGATCATGACCTGAGCCAAAATCAAGAGTCCGGAGTCTCAACTGACTAAGCTTCCCAGGGACCCCGGAACTTGCATTTCTAACAGGCCCCCACTTGCAGCAGTGCTGCTGGGACCACTTCGATAACCACTGCTTTGCACCCTCACTGTCCAAAGTATGGTCTCAGCAGCACCCTTCCCTGGGAGCTTGTCAGAAATGCTCTGGTGTCCAGGGGGCAGGGTTGGCTCTGTCTTGAAACCAGCAGTATGAAGAAGTGTGACATAGCAGGAGTGAGCAGGGAGGGTCACGCTCCGTCGGGGGGTCAGCTCACACCCCTGTGGCTCTTCTTCCTCCTTGTTCCTTCTTTTACCCGGAATGGTTAAGAGCATGCACTTTAGCCAGAGAGTCCTGAGTTCCAATCCCAGGCCTGCCTCTAGGTCTGTGACCTTGGCCAAGCCACTTAACCTTCTTGCTTTTCCATTGCCTCATCTATAAAATGGAACGACGGTAAAACACCTATGAGAAGGTTGCGATGCCAGTTACAAGCAGGCGTATGTGCAGCACGCTGTCTGTAAAGGCCACGGTCACCCCTGCTGTTTCCTCCAGTGTCTGCTGTGTGCCAGGCCCTGTGCTGGGCTCTGGGGAAGGGAGTGGGACTCTGTGGAGTTCCCAGGCAGTGGGAGACCCTGAGAGCATCAGGGCTGGGATGGGGATCTATGGGGAGGGGGGTTTCTGCTCTTCTACCTGGGCCTGGAGGTGTGGATTTAGAAGAGGCTTTGGTAGGAGGGTATTTTGAGCTGAGTTGTGAAAGGCAGATAGGTATTTGCCAGGTAACCCAGCTTGGTCAGGGCAAGTCAGGAAGAGGAAGCCTGGTGGGCAGGGGCATGGAGGTGAAGAGCAGCAGGGTATTCTGGGGGGGCCGATAATAAAAATAATACATGTTGGAGCGCCCGGGTGGCTCAGTCAGCTAAGCAAGCATCTGACTTCGGCTCAGGTCATGATCTCACGGTTCATGAGTTTGAGCCCCGTGTTGGGCTCTCTGCTGTCAGCACAGAGCCCACTTCAGATCCTCTGTCCCCCCTGCTCCATCTCTCTGCCCCTCTCCCCATGATCTCTCAAAAATAAAAAATAAACATAAAAAAAAATAATGCACACTTACTGGGTTTATGAAGCCCCTGCCAGATGCCAGCCAACAGAGGAGGCACTTTCTAGATGTGTTTTTAGTCTGCACTCCAGGCGCTACTGGGCAGGAGTGTGGGGAGGGAGGAACTATACCCAGCATAGATGAGGACCCTGAGTTCAGACCGTGAGGAAGGAGAAGTAGTAGTGTTGGGACTCAGGTCTTCCTGACGCCACAGCTGCCAGTGGTTACGTGGTCGGCTGGTCAGGGAGAGGCCAGGTTGGGGTGTGCCTTTGCCTTCAGGCTCAGGGAGTATGGGTGGGGGGGCAGAGCACAGAAGAGAGTCCCTTGTGGTCCAGGGATTCAAGGGAAACCTTCAGCTCCATCCTTCACGAACTTCTCACTTGGAGGAGGCAGAACACAGCAAAGCTGGGTCAGGACCAGCCAATCAGAGCAGAGAAGGCCTGGTGGGGACGGGGGTGGGGGAAGGGTCCCAGCAGCCCGGGGCTGAGATGTCCCCGTGGGGTTCTTGTTTCCTGTCGCCACCTCCCCCAGCACACCCCCTAAATCTGGAGAGCGCGAACACACTGGGCAGACTCTGGAATCTCACTCAGAGCCTAGCAGAGGGTGCGATGGAAGCAGATGGGTGCATCAGGGTTCCAAGTCACTTGGCACTTGCACTTGAGAACACTGGGAAGCCAATTAAAAAGGAAAAAATGTTCAGGGAGAGTTGAGTGTGAGTATTTACACGATTGCACTGAGCCCTGGGAACTGGGGTGTGCATGCCTGCTGGGGCCTCTTGTTCTGTTTTGGAAAAGCCTCCTTCCCCATTGGGCCTGGAATTCTCAGGCTGGTGGAGCAGCGGAGGAGGCCCAGGAGACCGGGTAGCAGCTCCTCCGTCTGCCTCCTCCTGGCTTCTTGAGACCGCCTTGGGCCCCTGAGGGTCCCCCCACCCCCATGTCCTTATGTAACTCAGGGATGCATAAGAGAATTGCTTAGCGGATCTCTCCCAAGCAAGGGCGTCACCTTGTTGGAGACCGTGTCTGTCTTTCTCAGTGGAGTGGAAATAGAGTAAGAAGGCAGCAGGATGAGCTGAGCAAAACGTGGGCTCTAGACAGACAAGCATGGTTCAAATCCTGGCTCTGCCACCACGAGCCGGGGAAGCATATGGAACTATCCAAACCTCAGCTCTTTGATCCGTGCAGTGGGTGTAACGGTAGATCACCTCTCGGCATTAATTGTGACCAGTAGGGTGAAGTATGCAAAGTACTGTCACAAGGAGGCTCAGGGGTATGTTCTTCTCTGCTGCTAGACATTTTGCCTTCTTCCTTGTTCAATATTGACTCTGTCAAGGATATCAGACTTCCCTGAGGTTCATTTGGTTGTTGCCAAGAAAAGCATGAGCTCCCACTCTGAGTGCGGGGGGGAGCAATCAGCAATCTGATGACCGGTGGGAACG